GAAGTAGAGATGGGTATTAATATTCTGGTAGCATATTGCACATAACAAATTATTATTATTATTTATACATCTCTTCACTTTTCTCTCTTTGTGTCTCTTCCTCTTTATAGAGAATGGACAATCTCTATTCGATTATGCAAATAAGAGGACGCTCTCCTGTTTATGCAAATGATGAATGCTTTATATAGAGAGGAAGTACAAGATTACTGGAGATGGGTGTGTTCACATTCTGTTACAACTTCGACAGTTATTGCTGTTGTTTCGGCACTGCAGACTTCAATGAGGAGACGAAAAAAAAGAAGGTATTACTTATTGTTTCTGTTTGTGCCCAAGGAAAAAATTAAAGTTACTTCCAGATCTCTTTTCTCTTTCTCTCTCGCCATTTATACATATAATTCTCACTTTACGCTTGACAAAGAAAAGAATAAAGAAGATATTTTTCTAGTCTGGTTTCGTACTGTTTAAACTAGCAATATAACTTCCGAGATTTATTCATATGCCAAAAATTTGGATAAGGATCTTAAATTACTATTCTTTTTTTACTTTTTTTTTATCGAAACGTGTCCTACTTAAAGTCGCGGCTCAATCTGTTTTACCTTCTACTAAAGTAAAAACGTACCAATCTCCAATAAAAAGCACTATTCTGATTCGATTCTTTACACTTAAAACAAAACTTTCCCCGCTTTTATCTGCCATAAAATCCCTCACCCAAAGTTTTTCTTATGCAATCAATAACATCAGATTTAGGGAACACTCAATAAACTAATTCCTCTCTTCGGGATAGTTCCAGTCACGAGATATGATCGTCATATCCTACGTCCAAAAGTTCAAGAAGAGAACATGAAAGAAAGGAGATGATGATGGGTAAGGCAATACGCCCCATCCTTCTTTCCACTTGCCAATATTTATCTATTGTTAGATAACTACTTGAAAGCCAACTGTTTTGTTTTTGTCTCTTAGTCTTTCTCTTTATATTCTATTACTTATCATATCTTAAATTTGAAATTTATTAATTGTTATCAGTGATAATCCCGTATCATCGATAGTTTTAAATATGTAAATATAATTTTCATGTTAAACTTTTGAATAATGCATTTCATTCTACATTCTTTTAGATGTTTGATTGAATGAATGTCATAATTCTTGAATAGATTCATGCTAAATCCATAAAATCTCGAGGATCATCAGAAATAGGAGGTAGACAAATCATTAGGCTGCAATTGTAGACCTATAAATTTACACTGTTGTCTGTCTATTCTTCCTTAATCTCGAGAACGGTGTTAGATAGATAAAATTCCAGATCAGATATTAAAAACTTAGGGCAGGAGGCTCCGATTAACTGATTTCAATTCAAAAATTTCCTCCAGAATGGAGAAAAATTTTTGAATTTATGACCGGCACGACTCTGTTGCTATCAGGAAAAGTATGATGTACAGGGGCAAGACACTATTTGAGGTGGAGAGCATATATATTTTAAATTAAATTAATTAAAAATGTGATTTAATAAATTGTATCCGGCATTATGACGATGTCACAATAATTTTTGCTCGTTTCGCTTAAACTAGTTTTACGGGATTAAATTACAACATCGAAGAAGACCAGGATTGGTTTTGCAATTTATTTCATGGATTAAAATTAGTATTAAAAAAAAAGAAGCATTATTAATGTTTGGTAAAATATAATATTAGAAGACGAACGATCTCTTTATTTTATTCTAGTTGCTTGAAAGACAAAACATTCATAAATATGCCAGTGATTGATGTACTAACGTACCTAGATACATTTGGGAAAGAAAAATACATAAAGAACTATCAGTTATGATGACAAAACACGTCGTAAATTAATGTGTTTGCACATCAGTAGCAACAAATCTTAGTAAGTTTAAAAATGTATAGCCGTGTAACCGACAGGATAGAAAAACGCCCGATAAAGACCAAGATTATTCGCAATTTTTACAAACCAAATGTGGTAAGACAAGCACAAACTCAATTTTGAAATCGAATGCTTGACGAGACATTGGAGATTTTAGAAATTCTTACAATAAAGTGTACTCTTATTTATTTTTTTTTTATACTCGAAGGTTAAAAGCGGCGATGAAAATCAATAATATCTACTATTTAAAAACAAATATATATATTACATATTGTATAGTTCTATTTTATAATATATATAAAAATGAGCATTTAACATCAATAAATTCTTGGATTTTAAGCAGGAAATTTTACGAGTAGAAGATTATAGGACAATACTGTACCAGGATGAAGATCAATACAATAGGCCTACAGTTTATCCAACATTATAAATGTGTTTCAAATCAGTAAACCATTGATCTGAAACCCGATTTCAAAGAAAAATATTACAAATACAGGCATAACAAAGAGAATATTTTAAGGAATAACAAACTGGTAAGAGGATCTGTTCTGATTTTTGTCACTTAACGCAATTTCTTTAGTGGTTGATCAACGAATCCGATCAAAAATAACAATGTATACGATACAATTTATCACTAATTAAAATATTAAGCTCCGACACTGATTTAACGGGGCAGCCATTTTCAATTTCTGCAGCACGGTCCCTTAGTTACTTCGACTCTTGTTAGATCACATCCTACCCAATAAGCGGTCTATTGATCCAGAGGTGGTCTCTTTGATTACGATCGTGTTGGGTTCTCTAACGAGATGCCTTTTGTCTCATGGAGATTGCTGTTAGGGATTTCTTCTTACATGATTAGAGTTTTCTATCCAGAAAGTTCTCTGAGGCTTAGTAGCAGATTGTTCTACTTGCTATTTGTCCTTCGCTTAATAAGATCTACTATTAAACAGTAGAGGGTTTATTCGGTTTGTGATTTGTTGGCCATTTCCCAACTCGATATATAAAAAAAAAGGTCGAAGAAATCCGATCAAACTTCATATATAAAAAAAAAAGACACGAAAGAGAGGAAAAACATTGCGAAACTAATAATCTAGAAATAATAAAGAAAGGGTGATTTTGATGAATTTTATTGTAGAAAATTGAAGATTTTACTCGCTACACACCGGATTTTAGATAAAATTGATGATGAATCTAGACAACCGAATAATTGGTAGATTAAATGAATAACTATTTCAAAGATAACAATGGAAATTAATGAGGCAATCCTTTGAATATATTTTCCTTATCTCTCGGCTGTGACGTCATTGGCGACATTTTCTTTAGAATGTCTAAATAAGAAAATTTCCTAAAAATAAATGAGGAGTGGGAAGTGATTATTAATTTGTTTCCACTCGGTATGAGGCCTAAATTGTAAATGGTTTTGCAAACGAGATGTTAAGAGTGCCGTTGGCATATGTGTGATTTGGACGAGATTGATGTCACAATTGGACTTTTATTCTTCAAAAATCTTCGACTTTAAATATGTCTTTTCAAGAAATTCGTAAACAAACTAGTTGACATTCATCCGATACTCGAATGCTGTTTATGATTATTTACAACGTATTGATTTTTAGATAAATAAAATAAAATAAAATAAAATAAAAAAATAGCTCGGAAACTAGTTTTTTCAGAAAGCCTGAACGAAAAATGTTTCTAATGCAAACACAAAGTAGGATTGAAGCAATTTCCGAGAAGTTACAAATGACATCCGGATTGAATCATGCGTTAAAGTGTGGGATACATTCTGAGGAATATAACTTGAGAAATAATTTCAAAACATAAATGTAAGTTTTATCTTTATGTTTAATAATAATTTAATTTAAAATTTGCAAAATATTTCTATAAAGAAAGAGAAATATTTTTTTGTGAAATTATCAAAACTAGCGAGCGGCTACTTTCAAAAATACACTGTTTAACGTTGAAAGTAGCAGATGAATTTTATAAGGAAACGTAAAATGGTTGAAGCTTTTCCGATGTTACAATCTGATTGAACTGAGAGAAAATTCTCTGAGGTGATGTTTCGACACTGCTGCATTTATAACATCTCAAAATTTTATGCAGGAACTCGAGATTTTCAAAACAAATCAACACTGTGTGAATGATAAAGAAGAAGAAGAAGAAGGGGGGAAATACAAGAATAAACAAACATTCGATGCGTTTCACATAAAAAAAACCTGCATTAGGAAATGTTTAAGAATTTCATTCTTTTTTTTCACTCTAGGTTATATGTTTTATGTTGGAAGATAGTAGCCCGGCGTCGCCATATTTAATCATAGCATGAAGATGGGTAAAAGACGAAATCCAATAGTTGTATGTCTGGTTCGCTAATGGATTGCCCAGTAACATGTGTAGTAGGATGGGATCTCTACACTGCCTGCATTACCGGATATCCGTTTATTGGAATGTGACGGTCTGAGCAAACAACAATTGCACGACAGATGTATCTTTGTGCTGTTTCTTGTACTTCCTTTATGCTATATCTCAATAAAGCTAACTCCACGTCTTTCTCATCAGTAATAACAGATAATGCTATGAGATTCTATTGGATAAAGATAAAATTCTTACCTACAAATGCATTTCTCCTTTTAAAACATCCGAATTTATTTGTATAATTTATATTTAAAGGCCTTGGTTTAAACTTATGTTGTGTTAATAGGAAATAATATAAAGGAATAATCAATAATTCCTGTAAATATTAAAAGAAATATGACAAAAAACGTAGATATAATTCCTTCTATATGATGCCAATCGACAAATAAAGAACGAATCGGATTTGGGTAGACATTTTCATTACGTGACACGAAAACAGAATTGAACATATGAGATTTCATGTAATATGACAATATAAATAAGATAGAAATTTATTCAACTTATAAAATATTACAAATTCTTGTAAATTCTTAAAATGAAATGATACGAATCAATCGAGATTCGTGTTTATCATTTAAAGAAATTGTTTGTTTGGTAATTGTTTTTAGTCGTATAATTATTTCATGTAATGTAATTTTATAAATTAAAATTACGTGGTTCATTGTTAAAAAATCATTCAATAATTAATACATTAAATTTACGATTGTAAATAGACAAACCTGTATTGTTGATTCCGTGTGGACGAATCCGAGAATCGTATCTTCCCGGACCTATGATGCTGTCCAGAATCCGTTTTTCAATTTGTCGAAAGTTTTCTTTCCCCCTAAAAAACAAAAAGCGTAAGATCATTAAAAGAAAAATAATATTGACTTCTTTTTTATATTATTATTATTATTATATATCAACTCTGTAAATAGTTTTGATCTCGATGCTATGGCCGAGTGTGGTGCAAACATAACACTATCTTATACATCAAAAGGAAGAAAAAGCTCCTATTGTCAAATGTATCTAATGATGTGTGGACTGGACCAGGTGTTCTTTTCTTTTTTAATGATGTTTGATAAAGAACTTTCACTGACAGAAAACATTCCCCTCAAGAATAGCCACCTGTCAGACATTGAACTCCACTTTACCTGATTCTATCAACATAAATCTTTGTTTATATATCATTCTTCTCTTCTATTCTTTCTCTGAGTAAATCATGAAACAAATAAGATTTTTTACGCAATCTGCTAGTTTTATTTAGTAAATTTTTCAATTTTTTTTTCTCCTCCTCTCTTTCCACAAAAGTTTTCTCCCAAGTACTAAAAATTTCTTTTCAAACTTATGTTAATTCTTCATAGAGTATTCATAAAAGAAATATTCTTATTTATTGTATTTAATTATTTTAAAAAAATGTAGCAAAAATTAAATAATTAATAATTACATTTTTAATTTTATCCGTCGAAAATAACAAATACATTTTATCGAAGAAAAAAAAAAATAATGATAAAACTTTAATGAATTTCTTCCACTTTAAAAATTCTTTATTTCGTTCAATAACATAATTTAAAATATATTTATTTTAATAATTTTCCATTTAATGGCCTAATCAAAAATCATTTAATCTTTGTTAATAGAGAAAACATCTGTTTCATTTGTTTGATTCTCTTTTTATTATTATTATTATTATTATTATTTTCTTTTACGATTAACTGTCAAAAAATTTTTTTTTTTACAATTGATTTTTGTAGAATAAATTAATTTGTTTCAATTTAGTCGAACATTCTTACCATTTTTCCGGAATCGAAAGTTATTTATTTCACTTTGTTTCTTCTCTCTCTAACAGATTTAGATTAATTTGATTCGCTTAGAAAAGTGTTGATACATTTAATCAAAATTTATCCTCCTTGAACTTTATCGCTTTGAATTTATTTTCTTCGAGTTTACATTATGCATTCCACTAAAATAATTCGCATTAAACATACATTGTTTAAAGTTAAAAGTAAAGTAAAGTACAGACTTTCTTACTGGAAGACAGAAACGTTTGTAATACGTCTTGTTCCCTAAACTAATGAGTTGTTTGTTTTGTTATTGCTAGAACATTTTCTGTTTTGTCTTTTCCTCTTCTATAAAGCGGCTTGTATTTTATTTGTTTTCTACGCGATTTTTCTAGCTTTATATGTTTGTAACTCGGACAACTATTGATATATTATCAGGAAACATTCGAAAATAAATGTTATTTTTATTTTTAAAACTATTTTCTTGGATACTTAATCTTCGATGTAATTAAATTAAGTGGCCTACTTTAACAAACTGAACTGAAATAAATTTTACTTGATCATTTCACCCCGAAAGACAAATTAATAATTTTTTTTTTTTAATTCTATGATCAAAAACATTATTTTAACAAAATTATAATGTTGTTTTAATATTGAAATTAATAAAAAATTATAATTAAACTCGGTTCAATCTAAATTTTGTTAAATATTTTTATAAATCCTCACTTTTTAAATTGCAATTACTACGAAGCCCATTAGTGATCGAGTGGATAAAACCACTGGTTAATGGTTTTGTCCACTCGGTCGTGGATTCGTGCCTGGTCAACGGGCTGGCCACGTGGAATTTCTCGGATTTTCTTCACGTTAATAACACTTAACAGTGGCCATTTCACATAGAAAGCTTCTCTTCCGATAACTCTAATTTAAAATGTAAAAATACTGTTTTTCTCTTTAAAAAGAAAAACGAAAATAAATGGAATATTTTCTCGCATTTTTCGCGTGACATTCTATGAATTTAGAATAATTAAAGCAGGATATAAATGCGTAATTCGTTTGGAATAAATCTTCGTTAACAAACGCGTTGAAAAAAATTTCCAGATATAAGTGAGAAACTTGAGAGAGTTTGAAAGAGCGTCAACTGAAAGAGGACAATAGAAACTATACTATACAGGGAGGAGTAATTTTGGCGTGGAACGTCGCTTCCGTCAGGCCCCTATTTACTCGCGTCCCACCACAGGAAGTTCGGTCGCTGTCACTTCCGGTTGAATGACAGGTTTTCCGGCCAAAGTCGTGATGAGAGCTGCAGTTGGTTCGAACAATAGCAACTAGGAAAAGCTGAATCGACTAACTTAAGAGGGAAAAGTAAATTTAAAATGTGACAAAACTCCTAAAACTAAATAAAGCTATTTACAATTTTCTGAAACACCTTTCCATTTATATATTTTTTTTTTTTTGTTATAGACGTTACATTTTTACCGATTCTAAAAGCTAAAATCTAAAAAAAAAACCAAAGTGAATAAAAATTGGTATATGGATTAGAAACGTCAGTCCCAAAGGAACACAATCAAAACGAAGGATAAATGCGGTACTTTCTAAGTATATTTTTTTTCCCTGGGAATTCTATTAGTAATCTCCATCTTACATTTAACTGTAAGGAATCAGTTGCAATCAGACATCATCTCAAAGATAACTCCATTGACATCCGCATCTCGATTCTCCCATCACGTTGTCATGGTAACAAAATCTCGTTTGTTTCATTGCTTCGATTTCCCGCGAGAATGGAGACATCCACGTGCAACAAGTTCCCGGATGCTGAGACTCTAATGATATTTAGTTTCATATCTACTAGTGACACTATTACTTCTTAAAAAGGTTGCATGAAGAAAGAAATCTTTTTTGATATGTGTTGGAGGGAAACTAACGTCATTTTTCCTTCCTCCGATAAAATCGTTCCAGATGTTGGAAATTAGTATTTAAGCATTTCTATCATCTGTTATCGGACGATAAGAGGCAGCTTAAAAACATTGAGAAAAATTGTACGATATATGAATCATTAAACCTTCTTAGTTTTTCTTTATTAAAAAAGAAAAGAATATAAAGAGTTAAATCAATAAATTTTAATAATCTAGAACCAAAGTTAATAAAATCTTAAACCCGATTAGAATTTACTTTGAAGAAGAAGAAGAAGTCTTTTCAATAAGCAGGAGATGAAATTCTATCATATGTGTGTGGTAATTTAAAAATAGAAATTTATAGAGATAAATAATATATATATATATAAATTAAAATAAAACCAATATCCACATTCCTGAAGGAAAAAATATTTCGTTAAAATATTGGTTTATCGGAATTTGGAAGTGTTCCTATGTGAAATGAAAATATGTATTTTCTATTTTTGTAACAGGCAAGGAGAGTAAAGTGCATTCCAAACATAAGTCTGTAGGAAGCACAGTCATATCGTGTACAGAGTCCTAAGCTAATAACAAGTGACTCCCGAAGATTGATAACGTTTCAGGAATGGTTGTTGTGTAGTGGCCCCATTTTTTTTCTTCTATTTTATCCAATATTATTACTACTTTTTAATCTTATATATAATAAAATTAAACAGTTTAACTGTCTGGCATTTTAGTCAATTTAATTCTATAAATTTTAAACAAAGAATAGATTGATAGAAGAAGGAGGGAAGAAAAAAACTCTTCCTCTTATAACCTCCCTTCCTATTATACCCATAATAAACCTTTAAATTCATTACTTTATTACTATATTAAACTGTGTTTGTATATAAATAACGTATAATAAATTAATGTTAAAGCTTTTATTTTACTACATACAAAAATAAAAAAAAGAAAAATTTTAATTTATGTGTTCTACAGGATGTCTGTCCTTTACCTCAAATTAAAACAGGTAAAGGAAGATTTAACGCTATTGTATGGCTTGTTATTATAATAAATTGCTAAAACTCTTGAGAGATAATCCAGGTTATTATGGTAGAAAATGTTAAAATTACTTTGTTATTATTGTTAAAATATTGTTTCCTAAGGCTAATATCAAATATAATAATAATGTTAATGTAATTTATCTGTGTAACGAAATACGACATTTAAGAAATTTGCACTTAAGAAATCGTTTCTATTTATTATTAAAATAAAATTAATGCCAAGTAATTGTTAGAAATATAATTAATAAATTAAACTTCATTTATAAATAATTTAAATAAGAATAAATTAATTAAATAAATAAACATAATTTGATTTTAGATTAAAATTATTTAAATCACGTGATCGAGTGGATAAAACCACTAGTTAATGGTTTTGTCCACTCGGTCGTGGATTCGTGCCTGGTCAACGGGCTGGCCACGTGGAATTTCTCGGATTTTCTTCACGTTAATAACACTTAACAGTGGCCATTTCACATAGAAAGCTTCTCTTCCGATAACTCTAATTTAAAATGTAAAAATACTGTTTTTCTCTTTAAAAAGAAAAACGAAAATAAATGGAATATTTTCTCGCATTTTTCGCGTGACATTCTATGAATTTAGAATAATTAAAGCAGGATATAAATGCGTAATTCGTTTGGAATAAATCTTCGTTAACAAACGCGTTGAAAAAAATTTCCAGATATAAGTGAGAAACTTGAGAGAGTTTGAAAGAGCGTCAACTGAAAGAGGACAATAGAAACTATACTATACAGGGAGGAGTAATTTTGGCGTGGAACGTCGCTTCCGTCAGGCCCCTATTTACTCGCGTCCCACCACAGGAAGTTCGGTCGCTGTCACTTCCGGTTGAATGACAGGTTTTCCGGCCAAAGTCGTGATGAGAGCTGCAGTTGGTTCGAACAATAGCAACTAGGAAAAGCTGAATCGACTAACTTAAGAGGGAAAAGTAAATTTAAAATGTGACAAAACTCCTAAAACTAAATAAAGCTATTTACAATTTTCTGAAACACCTTTCCATTTATATATTTTTTTTTTTTTGTTATAGACGTTACATTTTTACCGATTCTAAAAGCTAAAATCTAAAAAAAAAACCAAAGTGAATAAAAATTGGTATATGGATTAGAAACG